TATGGGTTGCACCTCATTGTAAAGAAAAGAAAATTTCTCACCTCTGGACAAGTAAACAACATATAAATGGAGAAAAGATTGAAGTATTCAAAGACATCATTTTTCTCAGCTTAACCATCAACACTCATGGAAGCAGCAGTCAAGAAATCAAACTCTGTATTGCTTTAGAGAAGTCTGCTGCACAAGACCTCTTTAAAGTGTTGAAGAACAAAGAGTCAGTTTGAAGACTAAGGTGTACCTGATCCCAGGCCATGTTATTTTCAATAACCTCATGTGCATGTGAAAGTTGGGCAGCGAATAAGGATGTCTGTAGAAGAATTGATGCACTGGAGTTGTGATGTTGGAAAAGAATATTAAAATTACCACAGACGGCCAAAAGAAGAAACCAATTTGTGTTGGAAGAAGTATATCCGGAGTGCTCCTTGGAAGCCAGGACTTCGTCCCTTACACTTCAGACAGATTATCAGAAGGGAATATTCCCTGAAGAAGGATATCATGTTTGGTACAATGGAGGGTCAGCAAAAAAGAGGAAGACCCCCAAGGAGATAGATTGGCACAGTGGCAGCAGCAATACACTCAAATGTAATGATTTTGAGTTTGGCGCAGGATGGGGCAGTGTTTCATTCTGTTGTGCATAGGGTCGCTATGAGTCAGTACCAACTTGATGGCACCTAACAACAATAACAAATAATATGAGGTTTTAGAGTAGAAGAGCACAGTGTGTTTAGCATTGTTGTTATGTGCCGTCGAGTCGGTTCCGACCCATAGTGATCCCGTACAGGGTTTCTGAGGCTGTAATCTTTATGGGAACAGAAAGCCTCCTCTTTCTCCCACGGAGTGGCTGGTAGTTTCAAACTGCATGTTTAGCATTATAGATGAAAAACCCTATGCATTGTATTATGAAACTTCAAAACACTGAACTACAGTAAACAATATAGATATGCAGATGAAAAATGCATAGGAAGTTAAACAACAAACAACAAAAAAAAGATATTGACTTCCAGGGGCGGAGAAGAAGTAATTGTGGTATGCCCCAAGACTGAACATTTTTACAGCATTTTATCATAATCTTACATTGAATATTGATCTAACTAAATATATGAGGACCATAGGAGGAACAGGAAAGATGGAGATAGTATGATGTAATAGCCTCATTTTTTGTAGTGTGAAGTCAATACAAAGCTTAAAGTTGACATGAAGAAATAATGTAAGTATGCTTTTTAGTGGTGTGTTGTTTAATGGACATAGTATAACTACACATAAAATACAAGAGCCTGTTCCTATGTGTGCATCCTCTCCGTTTGATCAATAATCTTTATGGGGCAAAAATCTAGTAAGGAAGGTGGGATTATAGAACTGAAATAGGCCAGAGGCTGTACTATCCCACATTTACTATCCTGATGTCATCAAGGTTTGCCTTTTTTCTGTCTCACTCCACACCTTCTATAATTACCATACTTGGGGCCCTCAGAAGTGAGAAAAAGGTAACCTGTTGTTTACATGCTGCTGCTCTTAAGTTTTATGCCATTTCCACCTACTTTTTGTTTAGATTTGGAGCATCTCAAGTTGGAAGACCACATGCAGTACAGGAATTCCACTCTTCTGGATAGCAGTAAAGCAGTAGCAATAGAAAAGGCACCACAGTTTTCAAACCTCTCTGCCATTTTAGGTGAGTTTCCACAGTTTTTTGGGGTTTTTTTCCTAATTCTTGTTGTTGTTAGGTGCCATCAAGTCGGTACTGACTCATAGCGACTTATGCACAACTGTACGAAACACTGTCAGGTCCTGGGCCAACTTCACAATTGCTGCCGTGTTCGAGCCCATTGATGCTGCCACTTTGCCAATCCATGTCGCTGGGGGTCTTCCTTTTTTTCTCTGACTCTCCACCTTACCAAACATGATATCCTTCTCCAGCAACTGGTCCCTCCTGACAATATGTCAGAAGTGTGAGACACGAAGTCTGGCCATCATGGCTTCCAAGGAGCACTCTGGCTGCACTTCTTCCAACACCGATCTGTTGGTTCTTTTGGCAGCCTATGGCACTTTAAATATTCTCCTCCAACACCATAACTCATGCATCAATTCTTCTACGGTCTTCCTTATTCACTGTCCAGCTTTCACATGCATATGAGGTTATTGAAAATACCATGGCTTGGGTCAGGCGCACCTTAGTCCTCAAGCTGACATCTTTGCCTTTCAACACTTTAAAAAGGTCTTGTGCAGCAGATTTGCCTAATGCGTCATTTGATTACTTGACTGCTGCTTCCATGAGTGTTGTTAATTGATCCAAGAAGAATGTTCTCATTCTATGTTGCACACAGTTTATTTTTTTCCCTTCAATGATTTCTAAGGTAATTTTAGCAATTAGGATTACCTTTGGCTATAAATAATATCTGACTGGCACCTAAAAAACAATAGCTTCTTAAAAATTAACTTAACTCATTTTATACTTACAAAAAAAGCTGCAAAAATATGTCTCACCCAGGTTTCCCTAATGTTCACATCTTACATAACCAGAGTACAATGATCAGAACCAGAAAATTAACATCCATAATTGTAATCATTGCAATGAAACCAAGTATGAATCGTTGAATTATAAAACTGATGATCTGCCCTGTAAGCCTTCATTCAATTCACAATAAAAACTTAAAAAAAAATTAATATCCATATTATACTACAGCTTTTCAACTAATGCTCTTTTCTGTTTCAAATTCCTGTCTAGAATCTCACATTGCATTTGTTATTTCTACCTAGTGAACTGCAATCTATAACAGTTCCTCCGTCTTTTCTTGTCTTTCATAATCTTGATCCTTTTGAAGAATATCAATCCGTTTTTGTAAACTGTGCCTCACTTTGAGTTTGTCAGGTATTTTCTCATTATTGGAATGAGGTTATGGTAAGACTACTATAAACATTGTGTTGTATCCTTTTCAATGTGTGGCGTCAAGGGGTTCCTGATGACAGTATGTCTTCCTGCTTGTAGTATTGAACTTCATCTATAGGTTAAGGTGGTGCCTGCTAAGTTCTCCACCGTAAAGTTACTGTTTTCCTGTTGATATTTAGGAAACCATACCTCGAGAGTCTGAAAATTATGTTGTCTTCAAACATCCTTTCACAATTTTAGCAGCCATCAGAAGATACTGACTACCACATTTATTGCTATGATGTTTAATGGTGATTTTTCAAAAAATCTTGCTCTTTCCTTCTATATATCTGTTGGAATTCTACTGTAAATTAAATCTTTTTTATTCTGTTTGATTATTTACATTAGGAGGAATGCATGTACCTTTATGTTATTCTGTGAGTTGAAAGGAATCCTCATGGTGCAGTAGACTAAGTGTTGAGCTTAGTTAACCTCAAGGTTAGTAGTTCAAACCCACCAACTGCACTGTGGGAGAAAGATGAAGCTATCTGTTACCATAAAGAGTTAGTCTCAGAAACCCTAAGGAGCAATTCTACTTTATCCTTTAGGGTTGCTATGAGTCAGGATCAACGAAATAGCAGTGGGTTTGGTTTTTGGTTTTCAAAGAGCATTTGCTCTGCTGGCATTCTGGTTAAAGCACTTAGCTGCTAACCAAAAGGTTAGCAGTTTGAATCCACCAGGTGCTTCACAAGAAAAAGATGTGACAATCTGCTGCCAAAAAAAAAATGCTGCTGTTGTGAAGTGCCATCAAGTCAGTTCCAACTCATAGCGATCCTGTATAGGATTTCTGAGGAGCAGCTTGTGGGCTTGAACTAGATACCTTATATTTCGAAGTTCAGTGCTAATCCTACAGTGCTAGATTTCCAGCCTTGGAAATCCTCTGAGGCAGTTCTACTCTGTTCTTTAATGATCACTATGAGTTGGAATTGATGTGATGGCAACAGATGTTCTTTTTGTTTTGTATTATTTTTTGTTTATGTGTGAACCATTACTATGGAGCTCAGAGTCATATCTATATAAAATGATATTATCAAAAAAATATCCCTTCAACCTTGCTACCCTTACCCTATGCCCTCTTCTTTCTACCCTTTTCGTACTCACCCCATTGTCTTTAATTTCTGGTTTAGCCTTCCTTTGTTTCTTTTGAACAAATGAGCAGATACTTGTGTATTTTCTTAAATCCTTTTCTTTCTTACTAGAAGGGTGTAGATATACTCTTTTTTTATTTTGCTTTTTGTCACTTAGCAATTTATATTGGCAATCACTCCATCATTTTTTAGAGATCCTCCTAATTTTTTATACAGCTGAGAAGTATTCCTCTCTCCTATGAATTTGGCATTAGAGTTTTCCTCTTACAAACAGTTCTGAAATGAAAAAACTTATGCTATTTATTTTCATATTATTGGAGGTTTATCTTCCAGTTAAGGAGCTGTGGCACAATGAATGGTTAAATGTTCCACTGCAACTGAGAATGGTCAGTGATTTAAACTCACCTTGGGAGAAAAGATCTGGTAATTTGCTCCCATAAATATTGACAACTAGGAAACTCTTTGGGGCAGTTCCACTCCATTCTATAAGGTTTCTATGAGTCTGAATCAACTCAGCAGCACACAACAACAATATCTTCACAGTAGATTCATGGAAATGGTATTGTTGGACCAAAAGGTAAGTAGATGTACAATTTGGTTAGGTGTTGCCAAATTTCCTCCAGAAGAATTGTACCACCAATGTATAAGAGTTACCATAGCCTCACCAACAGAATGTGATATATATGTGTGTGTGTGTATGTATATATATGTTGTTGTTAAGTGCCATTGAGTTGGTTCTGACCTGTATAGCAACCCTGTATAGGGTTTCTGAGGTTATAAATCTTTATGGGAGCAGAAAGCCTCATCTTTCTCCCACAGAACCACTGGTAGTTTCAAACTTCTGACCTTGAGGTTAGCAGCCTGACATGTAGCCACTATGCTACCAGAACTCCATATATATATATTTACTTTTTATTGTGAATTGAGTGAAGGTTTTCATAGGAGATCATCTTTTGGTCTCTCACTGTCTGGAGGAAAGAAGAGTGATGAAAACTGAAAATGCTTGAAAACAGTTAGTCCAGTGGACTAACAGACCATGGGAAAATCAGTCTTCATGACCCTGGGATCAGAAGAACTAGATGGTGCTTGGCTACTACTATCAACTGCTCTGAAAGGGATCACATTAGAAGGTCTTGGATAGAGGAGGAGAACATTTGTAATAAAACTAAAAATCATAAAAAAGGCTAGGCATACTGGTCAGAAACAGACTAGGAGAATCTCCATACTATGGCCCTTGGTCACCCTTCAGGTCTATAGTTGAACTCACCACCATGGCTCCACTTTCAGCTAAGCAATAGATACGTACATAAGAGGGAGAACAATAGTAGTGAGGGTCCCACATCATAGAATAGTCAACCATTCAAGATAAAATAAGTAATATTTACTTAAGGACAAAGGAGATGGGGAAAGAAGGAAGAATGGAAATAAGAAACACAGGGAGAAAGTGAGATAAACATTGTTACATTGAGAGGGTTGCAATTCAGATGAAACGAAGTATATGATGTATTGAATGTAAAATGGAAGAGTTATATGATGACATCAAGAGCATCTTAGAGGATGAAAGCATAAGGTTATTAAGAAGACAAGAAAGAGGAGAAAGACTAAAATGGATGTCAAAAGAGTCTCTGAAACTTGCTGTCCAGCATAGAGATGCTAAAGCAAATGGAAGAAATGAGGAGGTAAAACAGCTGAGTAGAAATTTTCAAAGGGCAGCTGGAGAAGACAAAGTCAAATATTATCATGAAATGTGCAAACAACTGAAGTTAGAAAATCTAAAGGGAAGAACATGCTCAGCATTTCTCAAACTGAGGGAACTGAAGAAAAAATTCAACCCTTTACTTGAAATATTGAAGGATTCTATGGGCAAAATATTGAATGATGCAGAAAGCATCAAAAGAAAGTGAAAGGAATACATAGAGACACTTCCCCAAAAAAGAATGGTCAATGCCCAACCATTTCAAGAGGTAGTATATGGTCAAGAGCCGCCAATGATACTGAAGGAAGAAGTCCAAAATGCACTGATGGCATTGGCAAAGAACAAGTCTCTGGAAATTGGTGGAATACAAATTGAAATATTTCAACAAACTGATGCAGCACTGGAGGCATTCACTAATCTATGCCAAGAAATTTGGAAGATAGTTACCTGGCCAATTGATTGGAAGAGATGCATTGTTGTTACCCATTCCAAAGAAAGATGACCCAATGGAATGAGGAAATTATCAGACAATATAATTAATATTGCATACAAGTTAAATTTTGCTAAATATGATTGCAAAACAACTGCAACAATACATTGAAAGGAACTGCGAGAGGTTCAAGCTAGATTAAGAAGAGGAGACGAGGACGTGGAATGAGGAATCTAATGGCCAACATCAGATGGATTTTAGCTGAAAGCAGAGAATACCAGAAAGATGTTGACCTGTGCTTTATTGACTATGCAAAGACTTTCAGTTATGTGAATCATGACAATCTATGGTCAACATTGAGGAGAATGAGTATTCCAGAACACGTAATTGTGCTCATGAGGATTCTGTATACTGGCCAAGAGGCAGTTGTTCGAAGAAAATATTAAATGGTTGAAATTAGTAAAGATGTGCGCCAAGGTTGTATTCTTTCACTATACTTATGCAGTCTTTATGCTTAGCCAATAATTTGAGAAATTAAGCTGGATTATATGAAGGAAAATGTGCCATTAGGTTTAGGGGAAAACTCATTAACAACGTGTAATATGCAAATGATACAGCCTTGCTTGCTGGAAGCAAAAAGGACTCAAAATACTTACTGATGAAGATCAAAGACCACAGGTTTCGGTATGTGTTATACCTCAATGTAAAAAAAAAAAAAAAAGGTGAAAGTCCTTGCCACTGGATCAATAAATAACACCAAGGTAAGTGGAGAAAAGATTGAAGTTGACAAGGACTTCATTCTTTTTGGATCAACCATCAACACTCATTGAAGCAGCAGTCAAGAAATCAAACCACGTATTGCATTAGGCAAATCTGTTACACAAGACCTCTTTAAAGTGTTGAAGAGAAAAGATGTCAGTTTGAGGACTTGGGTACACCTGACCCAAGACATGGTATTTTCAATAACCTCATATGCATGTGAAAGTTGGACATTGAATAAAAAAGACCATAGAAGAATTGATGCATTTGAGTTCAGATGTCGGAGGAGAATATTGAAAGTACCTTGAGATACCAAAGGAACAAACAAATCTGTGTTGGAAGAATTACAGCCAGAATGCTCCTTAGAACCAGTATGGTGAGACTTTGTCTCTTATACTTCAGATATATTATCCAGAGTAACCAGAACCTGGAGAAGCACATTTCTAGGTAAAGTGGAGGGTCACCAAAAAAGAGGAAAACCCCCAATAAGATGGATTGGCACAATGGCAGTAGCAGTGGGCTCAAGTGTAGCAACAATTGTGAGGTTGATGCAGGACTGGCCAATGGATCCGCTCTGTTGTGCATATGGTTGCTATGGGTCGATACTGACTCGTCGGCACCTAACAACAACTATAACACCAACATCTTAGGCTCTTTCTTTTTGATACCAAGCTTGTTAGCTGGTTGCTTCATAGTTGTAAGATGATTGCTAAAACTTCCAGGCATTACAATCATGTTACAGTCAGGAAGGATGAGCAAGGGCAGTATCCGCCCTGTACATACTTCTCTTTTTACCAGAGGAGCAAATGCTCCCCTAGAAGTTTTCCAACAGATTTCTAATTAGGTCTAATTACTAGAAAAATGGGTCATGGAGAGAGGTATGGAGTTGAATATTGTCAGTCATCCTATCAGAACCTGTCACATTAAGCAAGGGAATACCAGCCAAAAAAAATAAGTGTTGGGTTGGACTCTCTGATAGGAGAGTTGACAGCTGTCTGAATGATTATATTTTAATGTTTGAGACTTTGCCTACTATATTACATTTAATTTGACAACTCCTTTGCTGAATGAAATACAGTACCCAAAGAAGTACTTATCTCTTTAGCGAGTTTGATTAGATTCTTATTAGATGCAGATAAAACTTGATCCAGGGTCTGAAGTCATTTCAGTAGGATCCAGTTCCCTCTCAGCTCAGGATCCTTTTTTGTGTATTAACATTCTCATTCAAGCTCCTTTCATAGACTTCTCTAGTTCCACAATTTTCTAGTACTCACAGCTTCAAATTCAATTTAAAAAAGGAGTTTCTCTTTCCCAACTATTTGACTAAAAGTTCAGGGACCTGCATATTGACTTAATTAGTCCATATGTCTATCATTCCATACTCTTCCCGCTTTGAGTTGGAAGCTATGCCTGGGCTGCTAATGCCCAGTCAGCAATTCAAACCCACCAGCCACTTCATGGGAGAAAGGATAGTCTGTTCCCATAGAGATTTTCCATCTCAGAAACCCTATATAGGGTCACTAAGAATCACAATTGACTCCGTAGTGGTGAGTTTGGTTTGGGTGTTTTTTAAATTTTATTTTAAGCAAAATCAGAGGCCAGATGCTGGATGATAAGTGATGCTGTAGCCCTTTTCATATTCAGAGCTTCCCTCTCAAGGTAATGCTTTGTAGTGATTGGGAGACACCATTCATTTTACTTTCTTTAACTGTTGGCATTTTTTATTCTAATGTAAAGAATATTGTAGCTGCTAAGGGTTATAACTTCTTGAAAAGACTACTCTCATGATTCTTTGTATTCCTAGTATACCTGAGCGTATCTTAGTGTACCGGAAGCAGTTAAATGCTGGCTGGCACACATTCTCCTCATTAATCGATCGACTGATATACATATCTTTATATTTGGTATCATTGCTGGACAAAGAATCATGAAACCCAGGCTTAAATTCCAATTATCCAGCTATTAGGTTTGTAACTTGATCAGTTATTTTTTTTCTAATATGCAAAATTGGGAAAAGTTGGTCTATCTGCCTGACAAGATAGTTATACATATTAAGTGATATAATAAATATAAAATACTTAGAAAATTACAAAAAGCTATCCAAATATAAATGACAGATTCTGGTATCTCATAAAATATGCAACAATTTTGGTTTACTTTGGTACTTTGACTGACTGGCACTTAAATTAGAAGTATTTTCAACCAGTACAAAAAGGAAGCTGCAACTATCACAGTGTATTTTATGGGAAATATTTTTGCCTAGAGTAATTTTAGCTTCTAGTCTATCTTTGAATTATATTTCTAATAGATTGTTTGTTTTTTTCTTTCCTAGGTGCATCTTCAGAAGACTATCAGAAATGCCACAAAAGAACGTAAGAACGAAAATTTTTCAAGCTGTACTTTTGAAAATTCTTGAGTTCTAATAGTTACACGTTGTAAAGTGCTGTTGAGTCTGTTCTGATTCATAGTAACCCTGTGTAGAGTTTCTGAGAAGTGGCTGGTGGATTTGAACCACCAATCTTATGGTCCAGTGCTTATCCTACAACTTTACACCAGGACTCCAACAGTTATATAGCAGGTTGTTGTTGTTGTTGTTAAGTGCCATCGAGTCGGTTCTGACCCATAGCGACCCTGAACAGGGTTTCCGAGGGTGTAAATCTTTACGGGAGTAGAAAGCCTCATCTTTCTCCCGCGGAGCAGCTGGTAGTTTCGAACCGCTGACCTTAAGGTTCACAGCCCGATTCGTAACCACTACGCTACCAGAGCTCCTTATATAGCAGGTACATAGGTATATAGTTATATATTGATAAGTGCTATCAAGTTGGTTTCCACACATAACAACCCTGCGTAGGGTTTTCAAGGAGCATCTGGTGAGTTTGAACTGTCAACCCAGTGCTTATCCTATAGCACCACACCAGGAGTCCATATAGTTATATAGCAGTTATGATTGTCAGCATATAAGCACTTCATTCAGTATTTGCTTATTTAGCTTACTCAGTATTAATTGAGTAATTTTCTGGTTGCTGAAGAAATGACAGCAAACAAACTTGGTTAAAAAAAAATCTCTGTCCTCATTGTGTTCTCATCCTTTTTAATATAAGAAAACTTTTCATTGTGAATTGAGTAAAGGTGTACAGAAAAGATCATCAACTGTACATTCAACAAACTATACACTTTGTTTCCTTTCAGTGATTACAATCCCTTTCTTGCAACATTTATTCTGCTTCCTCCCTGTGGTTCCTATTCCACCCACCTTCCCATCCCTTCACAACTTTGTCCTTAGGAAAATGTTGCCTTTTTGATTCTGAATGATTGACCATTCCATGGTGAGTACATCTTACTAATAGTGTTGTCCCCCACTATAAAGGTATCTACGCTTTACTGAAAATTGGGCTATGAGACTGAGTTCCTTTCTAGACCTGAAGGGTGCTAGAAGGCCAAAGTCTCACGTTATCTCATTCTCTTTATGGCCTGTAAACCCAGTCTTTTTATTACTATTATTAGATACTTTTAAGTTTTGTTCCACATTTTCGCCCACTCTAGCTGAGGCCTTCTAATGTGATCACTTTCAGAGAAGTTGGTAGTGATAGCCAGGTATCATCTAGTTCTTCTGGTCTCAGTCATGAAGACTGATGTTCACATGTTCCATTAGTCCCTTGGAATAATTTATTCCAAGGGTCTTCACTTCTTATCATTTCTTCTTCTGCACATGGAGAGATCAATAGCTGCTGTACCTTAGTCGGCTGCTCTTGAGCTTTTAAAAAATTCCAGATAATACTCACCAAAGTAAGATGTAGAATATTTGCTTTGTGGACTATGTTATACCAATTGACCATGGACTATGGTCCTGAACCTCCAGGCCCAGCATATTATTGCCTTAAGAACTCTAATAACATCTAGAAAGTTTTCATCATTTTATCTGTTGTATACTCCATCACATTCATAGTGTATTTTTGAGGGAAAGGGGGATATTCAATGTACAAATATCCTCTTTCAAACTAGTATATGTTTGTCATATATATATATATATAT